TCTAAATTAAATAAAATACCCATCAAATAATGGATAATGACGAAATTGTAATGTTAGTTTTATTAGACATACATTTTGTATTTGTATCCTTAAACACAGGTGACTATTCAAGACGTTTCTCCCACCTGACGAACCGGATGGGTGTCTCAGAAACCGCATTACCATGGTGGAAATCTTCAAAATGTACACAATGGCATTTTATCGAATTCTCAAACTTTTTAGTACGGTATTCCACAAAAATCTGTTCAGGAACCACTACTTTTGACTATTTATACATCATTGATTAGAGACTTCTGGGAAAATAACAATGAGTATCACACAGACGATACATAATTGTATTTATCTTTTAAAACATCAGATGAAAACATGTGCATTGTGTATCAGTAACAAATTTATTAAAATTGAATCCAGAGAAGACAGAACTTATATATTTTGGACCAATCAAAACAAATTAACAGATATGAATGATAAATATTGAAATCTCACCTCGTACATCAACAGTAAAAAAACACATAGGTACCGTTTTTGACACTTGCATAACCATGGAGAACAATTATATCTTCAAATTAGCATACTTCCATACCTCGAACATCTCTGAAAAATCAGACAAATGGCATGGTTCAGTTACTCGTCAATACGTCAGTAAAATCTAAACTGAGTTATTGTAAAGGACTACTATATGGGATCCCACTTGCTGGTGTCAGCAAACTTAACACGTACAAAATGTTGCTTCCCGATTAATCACCATGACATAACTTTCACTTGTTACCCATATCGAAAATAATGCATTACAAAATTTTTCTAATTACCTACAATATACTAGTATTTTATGCCCCAGCTTTGGTTACTTTTTATTTTACCTTTCTTCTCGAGTTATATGAACCAACTCGCAAACTTTGTTTAAACAGTTTCGTCTACGAAAACACCTATTTGTTTCGGATAATATGCACTTTCACTAATGCTGCGCAAAAATTACGGAATGACCTGTAGGAAGATTTGATATATATCTTGGAACAAGAAGTTCTGTTCAATCGAAATAAAAGCCCAAATCGTTTTGGGAGGTGACTATAACAGGTTTGACGACTTTAATGAGCATTCATAACATTCAAATAATTCTAATCTCGTCTTACATTTGATTTGTCGTCGCCATTATAAATCAGTGTCAGCATCCTCTATTCCATGTTTTTTGTCATATTACCTCAAACCTTGCAAATAGAAGTATGCATAGAATCATAAGAAGAATCTGTGTGTATTGCCGTGTGATAAATGTCATAAAAGTGATTGACAGGTCATACTTGTTTACAACTCTGGAAGGACAATTGGAATCTACCAGGTGTGCTTGTGACTTGCCTACGCGAGACAGCTGCTCGCAAAACCACATTCTGATTGGCTCATGTGGAAACCCAGGTGGTGTACCTGAATCTGGGCCATGTATGCCTATAAATTGGGTAGACTGGATCCAACTTTTCAACTGAGTACCCTGTGTGTTGCTGCTGCTATATTGTGAGACAAGTGATACAGGCTTCAACCATCATTCTGGGAAACTTGTATGAACTGCTCTGCGATCTCCTGCTATCAGTGGTGCCTCTGGAATAACAACATTCCTCTGCAAGCAAGACTCCTGTATTTCTTCGTCGCTGTGTTGCTGAAGCCATTGACTGTTACCCATATCTACATCCTGGAGCTGTGAGTTATCACCAATGCACACTTCCCTAAGCAATCCACTATAATTTTAGCGAATTTATTTATTGTATTTTTTCGTGCTTTGTTTCTTGCAACTTTTTTGAGAGGTAATAAAGCCAGGAGCTTTAACTTGATATTTTAGTGTATGTGTATCTAGCAGTGACAGAACGCCCTGTCCAGTGTGAGTTCTTTGGGTACCCCTCTCAATAGCAATAAGAAGGCCTTACACTGTGACAATCGGCGAACACATGTTCAAGTTTTCTTTAGCAAAATCCCTAATTTTCAAAGTTAATGTTACTGGAGGAAATATTGCCTATTCTAATTCATTTGTGGGAACAATCAGAATCCAGTCACTTTCCAAATATCCAATCATATCATATCGAATTTCTATAACGCCTTTATGATGAGGAGATTGTCACAAACTCACACTCCGGCCATACATGCCCACATGTAGATTATGATGTGAATATATTCATACGCTCACACTCCTGTTATACATGCCTACATATGAATTATGATGTGAATATATTCATACGCACACACTCCTGTTATACATGCCCACATGTAGATTATGAGAATATATTCACACGCACACACTCCTGTTATATATGCCTACATATGGATTATGATGTGAGTATATTCATACGCACACACTCCTGTCATACATGCCCACATGTAGATTATGATGAGAAAATATTCACACGCACACACTCCTGTTATATATGCCTACATATGGATTATGATATATTCACACGCACGTACTCCTGTTATATATGCCTACATATGGATTATGATATATTCACACGCACACACTCCTGTTATATATGCCTACATATGGATTATGATGTGAATATATTCATACGCACACACTCCTGTTATACATGCCCACATGTAGATTATGATGAGAAAATATTCACACGCACACACTCCTGTTATATATGCCTACATATGGATTATGATGTGAATATATTCATACGCACACACTCCTGTTATACATGCCTACATGTAGATTATGATGAGAATATATTCACACGCACACACTCTTGTTATATATGCCCACATGTAGATTATGATGTGAATATATTCATACACAAACACTCCTGTTATATATGCCTACATATGGATTATGATGTGAATATATTCATACGCACACACTCCTGTTATACATGCCCACATGTAGATTATGATGAGAATATATTCACACGCACACACTCCTGTTATATATGCCTACATATGGATTATGATGTGAATATATTCATACGGACACACTCCTGTTATACATGCCCACATGTAGATTATGATGAGAAAATATTCACATGCACACACTCCTGTTATATATGCATACACATGGATTATGATATATTCACACGCACACACTCCTGTTATATATGCCTACATATGGATTATGATGTGAATATATTCATACGCACACACTCCTGTTATATATGCCTACATAT